CAGCGGCAGAGAGGCGCCTTCTTCTCCTTCTCGTCTCCCCTGCTCCTAGGGCCAGACATGGAAGATGGATCTAATTCTGCAAGCTGCTTTAGGAGGTTTACAGACTGTTTCTTGAGCACAAGTAGGTACCGGAACGCTGTGCCCGGCGGCGGGGCGCGCGTGTCTCGGGGGCGGTGAAGGGCTGTGTCCGAGGCCGGGTGCATGCCCATTTCTTTGTGAGTGGGGGGAGGCGAAGACACAAAGGGGTTGTGTGTGGGGGGCGTGCGTGGACGCATGGAGGAGCGGCCGGGTGTGTGTTGAGGATGCACGGACAAAGGGGATGCTGGATGTAGCCGAGTGCTCTTTGTGGGAGCTGCCTGTTAATGCATCGGGGATTTCTGCATCATTTCGGGATCACACGTAACTCGGTGTATGTGTGTATTAGCTTTTTACTTGGTGCATGCTTGATTTGATCGGGAATGATATGTAGGGGAATGGAGACTTTTCCCTCTACTTACTTGAAGTAACAATAAGGAAGCATTATGATACCGGCAGTTAACAGAAAAGAAGCGGATGAGGACGGAAAAGGGTGACATGTATTGCTGCTTTCTGCATCTCCTGTCATATCTGCCGCACGCATTCAAATTCAGTGGTTTTGACCGGCTTTGGCATTGAGTGCGTCTTTCTTCTGGCCGGCCGTGGCTTCATTGCAAAGCGGACGACAAGCCGGAGAGGAAGCATGTGCTTCTTGCTATTGAGGGCTGGTGCTGTAATGGGAATAAGTGACCGACTGGCAGGGAAGCCGGGATAAATGGGGCATTGACACGTTCAATAATGGGCACTTAGCAGCGAGCGTCTTCCGCTGCCGGCGAAACCCTCGCAAACTCGCACCAAGTCTGAGGGCGGGGGTGTGCGTTGACCCGGTGTCAGGAGGTGGTGGGGAGGCGAGAACAACCAGCTCTGCGTCTCCGGGGACGGCTCGGTAAGTGCCTGTGCGGGGTCTTTTTTCCCTCCCCGCGGTGAACGAAGGGAG